ATTCGTTACATTAAAACAAACATCATGATACAACGTGAACGAAAGTCACAAAGTGTGGTTTAAGTTCAGGAAGAATGGTAAATGTGACAACGGATTAAAGACACTACAGGCCAACAAAACCAAAGCCTATTGTGTGGTTGTGGGCTTGCACGCATGCACTTCAAAACGCAACATTTTTGAGAGAAATGTATTCGATGCTACGATTTCCGAGAAAACTGCACACTATGTGTAAGGACCGGCACCGGCGATACGCAGACTTTGTCCGCTAAAAAATAAAACATCGCGGCCGATCTCTTGCCATACGCAGTGAGGTTAATGTTGTAATTTTGGCGTTTCAACATCACCAAACTTTGACATTTTGGAAACTGTTTTCAGTTGCTCAATACTAATCAGCCTTCTTAGCTTACCAAGATGGTTAAGTGATTTTCCTAATATCGATTGAAATCGACATTTAGATATTTTGCCGCACATTCCTAACATTTCGCCCACCAACTCCCGCAGCCGAAATAAATTGTAGTCGGTACAAATAAAATGTTGTTTTTCAATACCTTGGAATTCTTGCTTTCCCGATCATTTAATTTGGAACGTGAACTTTCTGAATCCTTGTAGCCCAAAAAGCCTCATCCAGTTCACTCTGAACATCACGGAGGGGAAAGCGGAACCGTACCACCAAAAGTAGTTCTGCCGTATGCACATAATTACAGATGCAACCCATTTTTGGAACACCGTTTTTTGAATAAGTTTTGTTCACTGGTAGCACAGAAAAATATCTGGTGTTGTTTGAATAGAATCACTGTCCATTCCTTACACACGGCCTGTAAGATCCTGTGCTAAGGCCGTGATCTCAAAGCAAGGAATAGGTTACTTAGCCTAAACGCACGATCTGAGTGTCCTATCTGACAGGTAACGTGTAGTCTAATTCACCAACGGACAGTCAGTAATAATTGCGGCGAGACCGAATTCTGCGAACTTCACCTGCTTTTGTTCAGTAGTCGCAATTGGGCAGTGAACAACATATTGAATTGGAATTGGGCAGACAGTACAGGTATGTAGACCGTGGTTCTATAGGAAATTGACAGTAAATCGTGAGGAGAATTAAAGAAACGCTTACGGCTAGATTGGACCTTGGGCAGTTAGCAACACAGGATGGCACACGAAGGGCAGCGTGCTATCCGACAAGTTAAGCGGGAAAATTGTTGTCCAGTTGTAAGTGGGACAAAAGTTCAACAAGTCCAGGAATAAATGTAAACAAATCGTCTATAGAAATGGTTGGGGTACAGTCAGCTTTGTATAAAATGGAACGGCTCAGTCTTGAAACTTGACCAGTAACGGAAGGGTGGCGATAGGGAAACAAATAATTAATAATTAAAATAATTAATTAATTAATTAATTTAATTTAATTTAATTTAATTTAATTTGATTTAATTTAATTTAAT